GTGAAACGTCCCCTGTGATCCACCAGTGCTTGCAGCACCATTGAAAAGTAACCCTTGCAGTTTATGTACTGGGTACCCTTGTGCTCCAGTGCCAAGATAGGTATATGGGTTCCATTTATCGCCCCACCACAGTTAGGGAATCCCATTTCAGCAAAGCCATCCACTATGGCCTGCACGTTTCCCAGAGTCACTACCTTTCGTAGAAGCAGCTCAATGATTGCTTTGGCTACTTGCATCACAGCAGCCCCCACAGTAGATTTGCCCACTCCAAATTGATTCCCGACTGACCGGTAGCTGTCTGGCGTTGCAAGCTTCCACAGGGCTATTGCCACTCGCTTCTCAACTGTGAGGGCTGCTCTCATCCTGGTATTCTGGCGCTTCAGGGCAGGGGAAAGCAAGTCACAAAGTTCCATGAAAGTGCCCTTACGCATGCGAAAGTTTTGCAGCCACTGGGAATCGTCCCACACCTGCAACACTATGTGGTCCCAGCAGTCTGTGCTTGTTTCCCGGGCTCAGAATCGGCTTTCCACGGATAGAACCTGCCCCATCAACAACATGATCCCCAAAGCGCCGGGACCCGCGGTTTGAGAGAATTCTGTGTCCATGTCCATGTCGTCCTCACTCTCGTCGCCGCGCTGCCGCCGCCGCCTCCTTGCCTCGTTTTTCTGGTCCTGGTTCAGCATAAATTGCACAATAATGTGTGAGGTGTTTACAATGTTCATGACTGCTGTCTTGAGCTGAGCGGGCTCCATGCTTGCCGTGGGATGGCGTCTGCTGTGTTCACCCAGGAAAAAAGGCGCGAAACGGTTGTCTGCCGTTGCTTTCATGGAGGGAGGGGTGAGGCTGTACCCAGAACAACCTGCGACAATGTTTTTCCCCATCAGACACTGGGATCTCAACCCAGAATTCCAATGGGCGGGGGAGACTGCAGGAACTATGGGATAGCTATGGGATAACTACCCACAGTGCAACGCTCCGGAAATGGACGCTAGCCCCGGTACATGGACGCACACCGCCGAATTAATGTGCTTAATGTGGCCGCATACATTCGACTTTATACAGTCTGTTTCCAAAATTCGTATTCTGTAAATTCGGATTAATCCCGTAGTGTAGACATACCCCAAAGCACAGTATGGAATTTTTAGTGTGTGTTACCAGGGTCCACGTGGACAGTGCGTGTGCGGCAGGCTATTACACTGTAAATTTACATCCCAGCCTCCCGCACACTGTGGCCATATAGACAAGCCCTACGTTGTGATGTGGTAGGTCTCTGACTTGAAGAGAAGCTCCTGGTTCAAACTGCACTTAGTTATCGTGGGTGCATCTGCTGAGAATTGCTGCTGATCCAAGACTGAGTGCCATCTGCTCACCTCGCTTCCTTTGTAAATGCTACTGAATGACAGTTAAGTCCTGCAGCGCAGTTTGGAGGAGCTAGCTTTGAGATCTCTGGATAAGAAGTACTATATAAGAGCTAGGTATTATTTATTATTACATTAGCTACGTGTATGATCTTGAACGTACAGGATGAGGCCTACTCATCATGCCCCAGTGAGGAATTCAGCAAAGCAGCAGGCTAGACTGCCAGGACATCCATTTCATCTGCCTTTAGTTAATGTTTACAGGGAAAGTGAGGCAAGAGGCCCCTTTTCATTCTCAGCCTAGGGTCAGATGCATTGGTCAGTAAGGTCAAATCAGTGGTGTGTTCAGCAGCTAGCAACTAATTAAATGTCATTTGCACTGGGGTTTTTGGTTGTCCTGGGCTGCCAGATAATAACATTTGTCTTGTTTGCAAAGCATTGCAAAGATAGGAAGCTTTAGAAATGAAATGAAAAGTGGAATGAAATCAGACTTTGGGCCCATGGTATGTAAATTCAATTTTACAAGACAACTGGCTACGGAGTGCAAAAAAACAAAAAATCTGAAAACTTAATCCACTTTGGGGTTTTAAAAATATTTTTATGTCTTAGTCAATCCAGAAATCTTGCAAAAATGCTTGCAAAAATTATGATATCCTGGGACACTGACATGCTCTATTTGGGATATAGCTGTTCTTCATATGGACTTGGAAGTAACTACCTTCAAGGATGAAAGTGCAGGTTAGTTTCCCTTCCACTCAGACTTACAACAAAGGGGCCAGTTATGTGATGTCCATCGGAACTGGACTGAGAGACCCTCCTCATATATAGGGTACCAAACAGCCTTTGTGTCAGTATAAACCAGGGGTTGTCAAACTGGGGGTTGGGACCCCTCAGGGGGTCGCGAGGTTATTACATAGGGGGGTCGTGAGCTGTCAGCCTCCACCCCAAACCCTGCTTTGCCTCCAGCATTTATAATGGTGTTAAATATATAAACAAGTGTTTTTAATTTATAAGGGGGGTCGCACTCATAGGCTTGCTATGTGAAAGGGGTCACCAGTACAATAGTTTGAGAACCACTGGTATAAACATTGGTTGGATTTGAACCAGAACCTAGAGGCAAAAGGCTCTATATCCTATCACTAATCATCTGAACCAGCCAACTTCACTTTATAATTCTTGACACTCAATGGTGCCAAAGTGAAGATTGTTCCACAAACTGACTGAAAACATCAAACTTTTCTCTCTTCAACTAGTCAGGATCAGCAAAGAGGGTGAGAAATGTGGTGGTATCACAAGGAATGGGCTTGTTCTCTGTGTTCCATGCAATAGGATACAGGGATTTTATTCTTTGATTAAACTTAAAAAAACAACGTTCATCTTGGGCAGATCTCTGGAATGTCACATTTCATTCATAACAATTTTTTACAGCCAGAGTATCAGTTCTTGGAAAAACACATAGCTGTCAATTGAACTAGAGAGCCAGGCCAGGCCACCCCTTTATATAATTTAACTCATCTCCTTACTCTACATAAGCAGAAAGCTGTAGATAGAATTCTCCATGAGCAGTGGAATATGCTGACATTTCAGTGGCGAGCAGAGTTTAAGGTTGGGGAAAAAATTGTTTTATCCTAGGAACTAATTTTTTTTCCCCAGGAAACATCCCATTGTGGCTAATAATGGGAATGTGCCCCAGGTTCTGTGGGGTTTGTGGTGAATTGTGTCTGTCTATATGCAGGAGTCCTTCTTGCCCAACTTTATTAAATACATGTGGGGCTGGTACTAAAGCTCAAGAGCTTCATCTCCAGCTATACACAGGCATCTAACCAATGATCTTCTACGCAAAGAGCTCCGCAGGCTCAGAGAGCTGATATGTGCCCAAGCAGATCTGATTCCTTCCATCCATTAATGGGTTAATGTACATCACGGGTTAATGGAATGTCAGGTATGAAGGAGGAAGGCTATACTTGTGGTTTAGACAAAAGGCTCGGAATTGGATCTGGGCTTTTGCAGTGGCTTCCTCTGTGACTTTGGGTAAGTTGCTTAGATCAAAATGTAAGTGCCCATTAATGAGGGGTGTCTCCCTTGTTGGGTGCTCAGCTTCAGATATCTAACACCTTATCTTGATCAGAGGTGCTGAATACCCGCAGCCCCTGTTTAAGTAATGCATGCACAGTGGCTCTCCAAAACCAGGCTGAGTCTTGAGTTGAGCGCGCACACATTTTAAAATCGAGGCTTTAGTCACTCTGTGCCTCAGTTTCCTCCTCTGTAAAATGGTCATCACAATCACCTGTCTCACAAGGGTATTGTGAACCTTCACTTACAAATGTCTGCAGGTGCTTGGAGATCCTTGGATGAAAGGAGAGACAAGCACAATTACTGTCTTTGGTATTAGCCAGTGGAGAATTGATTTTACAGTATAAGATCGTGTTGTCACTATCAGAGGGGTAGCCGTGTTAGTCTGAATCTGTAAAAAGCAACAGAGAGTCCTGTGTCACCTTTAAGACTAACAGAAGTCTTCTGTTAGTCTTAAAGGTGCCACAGGACTCTCTGTTGCTGTTGTCACTATGTGTATTATTATGACTACAGAGCCAATAATGGTGGCACAGTATCTCTCATTATTCCATATTTAGTTACTGAAATACCTGCACTCAAAGTGTATTCTACAGGGAGCAATTCGGCAGCTGTCTATGGAATGACCACACATATTGCAGCATGAGCTTACAGAAGACAGCTACCTTGTATCTCTGGATAGGAGGGGGAGCCATTGATTACACTGGACTGTGAACGCCCAGCTAGAAGGAACAACATGAAACAGAGGAAAGGAAACAGTAGGTTGAGGACCAGATCCTCAGCTGGTGAAAATCCATATATCTTCATTGACTGCAATGGAGCTACACTGAGTTACATTAGTTGGAGATATGGCCCGGAATGTTTCCGACTGGTGAAACCTGTTAGACTGGGATAGTAGTGAACCTTGAAGAACTGGAGAGCCACTTAATTATTGAATGGAGCTGTCGACAGCCATATGTGTTTGGCAGCACAACATCCTGACTGTGCACTGCGACATTTGTGTGATCAGGACTTGTCATCATCGCACACCTGTGTAATATGGTGAAGACAACACAAAGCAGTGTTGGGATGTTCTGCTATGATAACTTTTGTGGGTCCGGTAAGACCTTTGCACTCTCAATGGAGCACATGTAGGGAACACCAAAGATATGCAAGCTTCCTGATCTCTTATTTCTTATGCACCCCAAACTTCTGTGTGGCTCAGTGGAAGTTTTGGGTGCATGAGGGATATGGGATTGGGTGGACCCAGGATGAAATCCTGGACCTACTGAAATCAGTGGGGCCAGGATTTTGCCCTCATTTTGGATGGGAAGTGATGGAAGCACCTCATTTAAGACCGTTATTAAAATGAACGGGACAAAGCCCTTCTGAATGTCTGTTGGGAGCCAGAACAAGATTGTCTTTCTCCTCCATATGTCCAAGATGACCTCTAAAACTTTACCCATCTCTAACTTCTGTAGTTTTCATACTGATATAGACATAGAAATAGATATATATCCTTGTAAATCAAGGATATTCCCCAAAGTGACTGTTCTGAACCCCTAAATGCATTGTCTTGTTTTTTCCCCCCAGTGTTATTCCCTGCATCGTGACTTTTCCATCATGTCAGAACCTATAACACTCAACGTTGGAGGAAAACTGTACACCACTTCCCTGTCTACTTTAACTAGTTTTCCAGACTCCATGCTGGGCGCCATGTTCAGTGGAAAGATGCCAACCAAGAGGGATAGCCAAGGCTACTGCTTCATTGACCGAGATGGCAAAGTGTTCCGCTACATCTTGAACTTCTTGAGAACTTCCCACCTGGACCTCCCTGAGGACTTCCAGGAAATGGGCTTGCTGCGACGGGAGGCGGATTTTTATCAGGTTCAGCCACTGATTGAAGCGTTGCAAGAGAAGGAGGTGGAGCTCTCCAAAGCTGAGAAGAACGCCATGCTCAACATCACCTTGGATCAGAGGACACAGACAGTTCACTTCACTGTTCGGGAAGCGCCCCAGATCTACAGCCTGTCTTCCTCCAGCATGGAAGTATTTAGCGCCCACATATTCAGCACCTCATCTCTGTTCTTGAAGCTCCTGGGTTCCAGACTTTACTATTGCTTCAACGGCAACCTGTCTTCAATATCCAGCTACCTGCAGGACCCCAACCACTTGACCTTGGATTGGGTCGCGACTGTGGAAGGCCTGCCAGAAGAGGAGTACACTAGACAGAACTTAAAGAGACTTTGGGTGGTGCCAGCTAATACGCAAATTAATAGCTTCCAGGTATTTGTGGAAGAGGTGCTAAAAATAGCCATGAGTGATGGGTTTTGTGTGGATTCCTCCCACCCCCATGCCTCTGATTTCATGAATAATAAGATTATTCGACTAATTCGGTACAAGTAGAAATAGCCTGTTGTGATGGTATTAGGAAATACATAACCAAACACAGTGTTTTATTTTAAGACCCACTTCGAGACACTGTAACAAACAGCCTAATACAAAATAATGTGATAATCTGTACTAAGAATCACTAACTGTGAGTTGATTTTCCTGTACTGAATTTACCAATGTCCTTTCAGAATATGTCTATATTCTAGGTGGATGGAATGCTGTCTATTGGCTTGAGCAGGGTCTAGGAATTAAGGAGTCCTGGGCTCCATTTCTGCCTCCGCCACTGACTCACTGTGTGATTGTGGGCAGGTCACTTAATTTCTCTCTGACTCTGTTTTCCCATCGGAAAACAGGGATAGTAATATTTAACCTACTTCAAAAGAATGCCATGAGGCTTAAATAATGAGGTTTACAAATCGCCTTGAGATCATCCAATGCAGCGTTCCAGAGCTGCAGAGTTGTAGTAAGTGCAGTGGGTTTGAGTCTCCACCACGTTGCACGTTGTGTAGCCAATTTTACTTGGCCAGAGTGGATGTAGAATGCTACCAAGTCAGCAGGATAGAGGTTTCACACACACTTTACACAGGTATAAATGACCATGCAAGGAAGCGGAGAATCTGGCTTAGAGTGTTCAAACTGAAGTCTTCTTTTCCCTGTAATGAATCCTCAATCCTGTTCTTCTATTGAAGTAGTCATGTTTGCACTGGGCAGTTGGTATCGCAAATGACGAAGGATGCCATTGCAGACAGAATAATGCTGTCTATGTGGGTTTTGTTTAAACATGCTTTGGATACACAGGAGCGCCGCCAGCTTTCCTGCCGCCCTAGGCGGTGGAAGGTCCTGCCCCGAAACGCCGCCCCCCCCACAGAGGCAGTGGAAGGTCCCACCGCCGAAATACCGCTGCGGTCGCTGCCCCCCAAATTGTAGTGCCCTAATGGGTTGTGCCGGCCCTGTGGGTACACTTAAACCCTTACCAATTACGCTCTAATGCATGAAAGGTAACTAGATTTGGTCTTTCTCATATGGGTATGTGTGTCTGGAGGATACCGCTGAAAACATTTTTTGTTCTGGAGACAATTAACAGAATAGAGTGTATCAGCCCCAAATGTCTTCTAAATAGTTTGAACCACATCTACCCATGTCCCACACCTTCTCTTTGGGCACATGCTCCCCAGGGCAGATGGGTAATGAAGGATTAAGGGCTGAACGAAACATAGTTTGCCTTTTGGAATACAAACCATCCCTTCTATAAGATTATGCATGATATGTTTTCTAATTACTGTTCTTCAGTAAAGACCAGGGGCCTGATTCTCGTTTGCCTTGCACCTTGTGCATTTGTTTACACCGGTGCCAAGTGCATCTTGTAAAAGACTACCCAGTCAGAATGGAAGCATTTTACACCCTCTGTGCTTGGGTGTAAATGACTACACAAGGGGCAGGGAAATGGAGAACCAGCCCAGTAGAAATGGTGGAAGGGGGGGAAATGGCCAAGCACTTTAACTAAGGCCTTGTCTACACCAGAGGTTCTCAACCTTTTTCTTTCTGAAGCTCCCCTCCCCCCCAACATGCTATTAAAAACTTCACGGCCCACCTGTTCCACAATAACTGGCTTTCTGTATATAAAAGCCAGGGTCGGCCTTAGCGGGTAGCAAGCAGGTCTATTGCCTGGGGCCCCATGCCCCGGGGGCCCCCACGAAGCTCCATTGCTCAGGCTTCAGCCCCGGGTGGCGGGGCTCTGGGAACTGGGCTTCAACCCTATGCCATGGGGCTTCGGCCCTATGTGATGGGGTTCGCCAGGGGTCGGCAACCTTTGGCACGCGGCCCATCAGGGTAATCTGCTGACAGGCCGCGAGACATTTTGTTTACGTTGACCATCTGCAGGTATGGCCCGCCGCAGCTCCCAGTGGCCGCGATTTGCCATTCCCAGCCAATGGGAGCTGCGGGAAGCGGCGGGCCACTGGGATGTGTCTTTCTGAACAAGGTTGTCACACTCAAGCACTGACTACACTGGCAAACCTCTGGATATCGCTCACCATCTGTCATCTGTAATGAGACAGAAGGGAGAATACAGTGATCTGTAAGGCATCCAATAACTAGCATCCATACCTGCATTTTTACTGTCTCCAGAAGCTTTTAAATCAGGTCTGTGTTTCTACAAAGCTTAGCCTTATCCTAGTCCTTGCTTCCTAAAGTACTATGGCACAGTACCAACCCAGTTTATATGTAACCATGGTATAGGAGTTGTATTTTGTTAAAATGTATAAGACCTCTTCAACTTTACTAGCCCAAGCTGCAATGGCTGTAGATGGTAAAAACCCAGATACTGCAGCAAGTGGTGTTACATGTCAAGCCACCAACACCACTCCCAATGAATCAGTGCTGTACCAATGCAGCTGTGTGATATGAGAGGCACCATGCTGTGGGAGATGTTGCCTTTTGGATGAAATGTAAAATGGAGGTCCTGACCCTTTATAGCCATTAAAAATCATCTGGAAACTTTCAGAAGATTGAGGATGTTAATCCTGATCTCCTGTCCAAGATCCAACATGAAAAATGATGTTCTTCCCATTTAAAATCCCCTTGCCGTTTCAAATGGATCAAGTAGCATTCTTCCCTCCCTGTCTGAAACTGCTGTGCGGTGTTAAACAACGGCCATATTCCACACCAGAGGTAGCTGCATGTCAGTGGTGAAGCAAAGTGATTCCTGTGTGAATCTATCTTATACAAAGAGTTTATAGTTAAACTGGATGCTAATGTGTTATACAGTACTCATCATTTTACATCCTCTGAATAGTTTGACCTGCAAGATCTCAGAAGCTGCCTGCTCTAACCAAAGCTGTGTCATAAAGCAAATAAAATTAATTTGGAAGTAGTGCTTATAGTTTCTGGGGAGGTTTTTATCCTACCCTCTAACCACAGAATTTCAATTATACCTGATATGCAGACACCATTTTCATCTGTCAGGAGAAAAGGAATATTAATCTGTAGAAATTTATTTTTCTGTACATTTTTAATTCAAGAAGCTTCGAAAGGTGTAACTCTACAGCAGTCCGTGGAGCCCCAATCATTTACACCAGCTCAGACTCTGGCCCAATATTTCCAACGTCTATTTCACTATCTGTAAAATGGAGGGGAAAGTACTTACGGGCCTCAAATGTATTATGAGGCTTAATTAATGTTTGTGAAACATATAGGTGTTACAAATGCTAAGTATTAGTACTAATAAATCAGGTGATGTCTTCTTCTGTGGTAGGATCTACGTAAAGGGAGTTGTACGTGAGAAAATCTCTTTAATGCAGATGCTGCGTCTGAGAAAGATTAGATGGGCATAAAGAGCTGGTAAGGCTACAGACCCATGTCATTAGGAATGAGATGAGAATACTGTCACTGTGCCTCAGTGGGTCACAACTGAGAATACCAAATTCAGGACAAGCTGCTGGGAAAAAGGGCAGACACCCCAAATCTGGTGGTTATTCTTCCATGATATATACCAAACCAGCAACAAATGTAAACTTCTGTCTCACCACACTGGCTAACAAGAAGTCAGAAATGCAGCCTCCTTAGGTATTCCAGTCCTAGATTAAACACCCTGACCCTAGATTTAATGATGAGTGTTTATTTAAAACCAATTTCATCAAACAAAAGGGTTCTTCTCATCCCAAAGGACCAGCCACATACCCAGGTCAATATATAACTCAGATATTACCCAATAATCATGCTTACAACCAATTCTTATTAACTAAACTAAGATTTATTTAAAAAGTAAAGAGAGAGAGTATTGGTTAAAAGATCAGTATACATACAGACATGAGTACCATTCTGAGATCAGTTTTATAGCAGAGATGGTGAGCTTTGTAGTTGTTGCAAAGAGATCATTCAGAATTAGTCCATAGGTTATAGTCCAATGTTCATATTCAGGGTGATCCAGGTGGGACTGGAGATCTCGGTTTAATGAATAAAGGCCTGTTCAAAGACTCCCCACATACAAATTCCATCCACATTAGAGGGGGTTACACTGATTTTTAACTATATCAGTACTATACCTCTCCCCATCCTTGATATGGATGCAGTTATACCAATGAAGCTTATTCCTATAAGTTGAGGGAAACAAGCTATACCGGTATGAGGCTATTTTGTACTGGTATCACTGTGCCCACCAGGCATTGTGCTGATTTGGTAAAAAAATAAATCCCACTCCAATTGAAAAAGTTAAATTGGTACAAAAACTGTAGACCATGGATTGAGAGCCTAGAACACTTGAGCCTGGTTCCCCACTGCTATATACTAGGGTCACTGACATCTAGGCAAAGTGGATGGAAAATGCTGCCTGCTCATATGGGAGAGGTTTACACTTGCTTTTCTTAAAGGCATTATAGAGACTGACTCCCACTAACTCACCATGTATCAGGGGGGTAGCCATGTTAGTCTGTATCCACAAAAACAATGAGGGTCCGATGGCACCTTAAAGACTAGTGGATTTATTGAAGAAGTGGGTTTTTTACCCACGAAAGCTTATGCCCAAATAAATCTGCTAGTCTTTAAGGTGCCACCAGACTCTTTGTTGTTTTTGTTAACTCGCCATGTGTAATTTAGGCCTAATCCACAGTTAAAAACTAGATTGACCTAGCTACATCGCTCAGGGCTACGAACATTTTTGCACCCTGAGTGTTGTAGTTAGGTTGACCTAAGCCCCAGTGTAGATGCGCCAGGTCCAATGGAAGAATTCTTCCATCAACGTAGCTACCGCGTCTCGGAGTGGTGGATTGACTACATTGATGGAAAAATCCACTCCATCAATGTAGGAAGCATCTACACTATGGTACTGAGCAGCACAATTCCAGCACCATAGCTGGGCCGCGGTAGTACAGACATGGCCTTAATCTCTCTATGCCTCAATTCCTCCATTGGCAAAATGAGGCTCAATCATACTTCAATAAAGTGCTGAGACCCCCACCAATGGCAGACCATTAGGAAATAATAGGGCAGAAAAACACCAGAGAGGGTAGTTAATAAATCAAATATGCGCTCATAATGCAATGCCTTTGCCAGCCAGGGCTGTATGCACAACACAAAGGGATCTCTTGTATGACAAAGTTACTATGAAACAGTTTATTAGAGCCTGGGAAGGACTACTCTTGTAATTCTGCATATGCTACGGGGCTCATTGAAAATGGAAATTGACAAGTTGGAGACGGTTCTGAGATGATGAAGGGACTAGAGCAGATGACATCTGAAGAGATGGAACTTAATGTCTATAACCAGGAGGCATTAAGGGAGGTGAACAGAAGGTAGGAGTGGGGTTTGTTCCTGTAGGTGATGGTGGTGACATAAGGAGTAGCAGTATAAAGCTAAAGATGGGAAGTGTGAGGTCTTGTCTTGAGAGAGAGGGGGATAAATGACCTAGATATGTTCAGAAATAGGGTAGATAATATCCTAGTGGGATTAATAATTCAAAGAAGATCCTGCTCCCAAGGCTGCCAGGTAGGAGGCTGGGACTGGAATGACCCTGTTGGTCCTTTTCAGCTCAGATCTTCTATTATTCTGTAACTTGAAGGTGTCCAAACAATGTGACACTGAGAGATAGATTGGTAACTTGCCAGAGACCAATGCCTAATTTGCACATACATTAATGTAATCAAATGTATGCACAATTCTAGCTGCTTGTACTACTCTCTACCTTGATAGCTGATAGAAATTGTTGCCTGTTTGAATTTGCTGGCAATAAACACCTGCAGTTAATCAGATTTACCCTCACTCTACCGTTATGGAGAAAGGGCTGCCATGAGCTACGTATTAGGTTTATAGGGAGTGGCAAATTTGATCTTCAACCCATGCAATAAGGACTCTACTAACACTGCTTTGTAAATTAAACCTGGGATCATCTTATGCATTGATGCTTCATAGACAAATGGAGAAGCTATGAAAGAGACTGATGTTTTCCCAGATGCCATTATACTTAAAGTATAGGAAATGACACTGATTTATTTTTAAATATTTAACTCTCTTAATACTACAGGCTAAATTCTCAAATAACATCCAGATCCAACTTTTCTGGGTGGGATGGGCTGTATGTCAGGGCCATAAACATGCAGATCATGCTCCCTAATCTCCTCAATGGCTCCTATCCTAGACAACATTAGGAGTGGAGTGGTGTGATAGATCCATGGATTCTAAAGAAAGCTAGGAGTATAGGAATGGGCTGCTGGGCACTCTCTTCCCCATTTTCTTGCTCCTGGATTTAGGATTTTCTAGTTGGCCAGAATTTGTCCCAGATTTGTTAAGAGAGCTGCTTAACTGAAAAATATCAGAAGCTGTTTTATTTCCTCTAACTCTTACAGAGTTTATGGTGCATTTTAAATTTGTTTCACCTTTTTCTGACTATAGCTCTTTTCTGAATAATGTTACTAAAAGTGTATTTCAAAAATAAGTAAATAAAATGTAATGAGTGGTGCGCCAGATTCAGTGATGGACATAAATTTGTTTGCAAATGAAAATGTAATGCTTTTTTCTGAAGTTGTAGCTTATTTCCCTCTCTCTAGGACTTTATATAGCACATTATCATAATACTACCACCCAGAAGGCACTAGTGCTGAGAGCTGCACTAGGAATTCTGCAATACCTACCTAGAAGGCAATGCAACCAAACTGGTTTAGAATAATCCTAATGTGGACATGAAGCAGAAGCACAAGCCATTTTAAATACTAGGCTATAAGCTAGGCTAGTATGGATGCATTAAACTAAGGGTTCTCAAACTGGGGGCCAGGACCCCTCGGGGGTTGCGAGGTTATTACAGGGGGGGTCATGAGCTGTCAGCCTCCACCCCACACCCCGCTTTGCATCCAGCATTTATAATGGTGTTAAATATATTAAAAAGTGTTTTTAATTTATAAGGGGGGGTCACACTCAGAGGTTTGCTATGTAAAAGGGGTCACCGGTACAAAAGTTTGAGAACTACTGCATTAGACCCTTTAAGGTTTGATCGATTATACTGTGAACAGTTCTGTCCTCTAGCACCAATTCCTGCAAAGATACTGCAACACTGCTATTCAACCCATGGCTCTTCACAGTCCCTAAATTTGAACAACAACCTATATGATGTTGATGTAGCAGCTGCATTGAAGGAAAAGAAGCCAATTTAAATACTGTTTGTATGATTTGCATTAATGTAGCACCCGCTAGGTGCTTTCCAAATGTGTAATAAGATGGTTCCCTGCTCCAGAGAGCTCACAAGATGACATGCAAGTGTCACCTTCACACAAACACACCCAGCTCTGTAACAGTTGGCAATTTCTTGTAGGCATCAAAAGTCTTGAGCCTGCAAACCTATAAAAAACATCTCACAGTAGGGTGACCAGATAGTAAGTGTGAAAAATCAGGACAGAGGGTGGGGGGTAATTGGCGCCTATATAAGAAAAGCCCCCAAATATCGGGACTATCCCTATAAAATCGGGATATCTGGTCACCCTATCTCACAGCCACCTAGGGCTTTAGTTGTACCAATTAGTTGCAACTCCTGGGGAGAAGTTCTTTAGCTCAGCTCCAACTGAACTGATGTATTCTTTAGTGGGTTTTTTTCTAATGATGACAGGAAGCGGTAGGCATTGCAGCTGCAGTGAGTTCACCAATGCTTTCCCCTCTATCCTACTGTGCAAGCCTTGCTTTGGAAGTTACTCAGAAGTAGGGTGACCAGACGTCCCGATTTTATCGGGACTGTCCCGATATTTCCTTGTTTGTCCAGTGTCCCGACCGACGTGCGGTCGGGACACTGGACAAACAAGGAAATGCGCCGGAGCCTGGAGCCCGGAAGTGCTCGCGCCCCCCCCCTCCCCCGACTCCACCCCCTCCTCCCCCGATTGGCTCCCTCCCCGAATC